TGTCGCCTGGATGGTCTCACCCGCCGACAGTGAAAATAACCTCATAATCATCGTTCTGTCAAGATCAGGATCATCTGGGCTCATCTGAGACTGGGCTTGAACTCTCTGACTCCCCTGCCACACCGAAATAATCTTAGGATGAGATGATGATTTATTTTCACAAGGACATTTTCGCAAACCTTTATTTTAATTTCCTAAACCTTTCATCCGTGGCTGCTTCTTCAGGGACACTTTTACATCTATTTAAGTCAACCATATTTACTTTCAAGGTATAAGCCACATAAGAAATAACTCTTTTCAACGAAGCAACACATAAAGTCGCTTCACATTATGCCACTGGACCACTGTGCTGCAGCCTCTTCCCAACCCAAATCCATTTGGGATTAACGGAGTTAACTAAGGCGGCGTTGTGAACAATACTGCACCCGTGCAGCCACTAATTAAAGCCGCTTCTAATGAGGGCTCGTTGATTGACACAGAAGGGTTGGCCTCTCCCCTCGCCACCATCAACTATGACAGCCACATGATGAGGCTGATGACAGGCTCCCATGCAGGCAGATGACAGGATGTCACTGCTAGACCACCACCAGTTCTCGTCTCCGAACAATACCGTGCTCGTGTGGCACCTCGAGATTTGTCAAGTCTTGGATCATAGATGTTTACACAAAGGATAATGATTATATATTGAATCCTATAGGTGTAGCATGTCGGTGTTTATTCTGTTCAAAGGAAAAACTCTGACCACTGGTGGAAGAAGGACCTATAACCTTTACTTAAGTAAAAGTACAAATTCAACAGTATAAAAATACACCATTACAAGTTCTGCATTCTAAAAGTATTAAATATTATCGGCAAAAAGTTAATAAAGTATCAAATGTAACTTGTACATATTTAAAAATATAATAATATAAAATAAAATATGAAATGATTAGATTGTTAATATTAACGCATCTATTCAAATGGCATGTTACTGTTGTAGCTGGTCCAGGTACAGTTTACAGCTTGGTTGTAAAGTCCAGTGTCTAAAGGGTCGCAAGATAAATCTGGAAGAAAAGCTGGGAAAGAAGAGAAAACAAAGTTCTGCTTCACAAATTTGAATCCATTCTCTCTCTCCAATCTTTGTTTTTTGTGAAATAAATGTGGATAATTTGTCGTCTTTGGGCCTTGAACAGTTTTTTCAACAGAACTGTCTGAGTGTTGTATTTTTTAAGCTTGTCAAAAGTTTTTTTTTTTATGGAATCAATCGGTAAAGTAACAAGTAACTACAGCTGTCAGATAAAGGTAGTGGAGTAACGGTAAATTTTGTGGAGTTGAAGTATGAAGTAGCATAAAAAGGAAATATACTACTAGTCCTGGTATTATAGTAAGGAAATATGTTGTTACCACCAGTGCTGTCAACCATCAATCTTAAAGCTTAAGCAGTCAGGGTTCTCAAAAAGTGAAATAAAGAAATAAAGATAATTAAAGCAACATGTTTAAGTCTGAATAAAACTTTCAATTTGCAAAGAATTGCGTCAGACTGTGTCCAGCTAGCAGCTCTTTAAAATGGGCTTACTTCGCTGTATATATTACCAGTGACAGACATGAATCATGCCAAAGAGGCCTAGCTGTAGGGCATCACCACGCCAAGTTGACAATGAGGGTGAAGTGTTTGAGTACATCTCGCACGAGGCCCATTGGCCCCCGTGGCAGGGCCTCTCCGTGCGGGGTTTGAGAAGCCCCGAGGATGACAGGTGCTTTTCGTAATGCCTAACTGATGAGAGCCAATCAGTGCGCCCCGTTCTGCTGGTGTGTGTGTGTGTGTGTGTATGTGTATGTGTGTGTGTCTCCTCTCCTGTTGTTGTCATCTGGCCCGCTAAAGTAAAGATGAGCTTGACTGACAGATGCATCCGGGTTCACAGTTTATTGGTTTCTACGAGAGAGCCAGATATGCCAATTTAGACAGGGTAGTGACAAAAAAGTTCCCATCTAAATGGAATAATTTTACCACTGGGAATTCTCAGCTGGGAGAAGAGGGAGTGTTAGTGTGTATATGTGTGTGTGTGTGTGTGTTTTTTTTTATCTTTTAACAAGGCCTGAATGACAAACACATAGGACAGTTAGGGGCTGACAGAAACAGCAGCTTTTGATGCTTCACAGGGGATCCATGAAATAAACAATAGGCAGAGGAAGCAGAGAAATTGAATTACAACTGGATGGGTTTCAGAGTAGAGAGTGCAGAGAGGAAGCGAGGCAGCAGCAGTGTGGTATAGCAGGATGAAACTGATGCATCATTAAATATACTGGAGTCAGAAGCTGGGGCAATGCTCTCCTGCCTTCCCGACTGTCCTTCTTATTTGTTTCACCCTCTTCTTTCTCCTTTCTCTTCTCTCTCTCTCTCTCTCTCTCTCTCTCTCTCTCTCTCTCTCTCTCTCTCTCTCTCTCTTTCCTGCACACACACACACACGTGCGCACGCATTAACATACTGCAGTTGTTCTTTTTATTGTACACTTTCGCTACTTTTAACAGGAATCATTATGTATATTATTTCTGCAGACATCCACACAAACAATACGTTGTGCAGCTATTGTGTATTTCATATTTGAGAGCTGTAACCCATATGAATGCCTCCTGTGGTCCTGAGTGTTCATAAAACCAAACGTCAATACACCAGCAGCAGCGCTCCCCGGAAACCTTGAACTCTGAATCATTTTCTTATGGGGTTAATAATGAGGGGGACGCCGAGTCAACGACTGACATATAAAAGAATTTATTTCTCATGTGCACAAAAAAGAATTGGAACAGAACTGAAACAGAACAATGATTGAGGCCACAAGGCTTTCCGTATAGATTTTCATCAGAAATCCTTTTTATGTCCATGACACATCTCCTGTATCATCTTTACAACAACAGAGGACCCATTCCCTCAGAGGTGCTCTGCTTCCTAAAGCAATGTGGCTTGACGAACGATGTGGCTTGCACTCTGTGGCAGCGTTTCATCTTCAGATATGTCCGGCTACGTGTAGACAGAAATAGGCAAAATCCCATGTGCAACCTGTAGAGGAGAGAGGTTCTCCTGAAGAGCAGGACCGCAGTCTGTTTCTCTGTTATCTGGTGCCCTCAGCAACGACAGTGAACCCTGGTACAAGATGATGTATTTGCTTGTGTAGAATTAAAGTAAACTTCATCTTGGATGCCTTACGCTAAAGAGTTGTATTGGTAGCAGGGTTGAGAGCTTGTGAGGAGTGAGAAAGGGAGTAGAGTGGGAGGAGAGATGGGTGACTGGGAATAAGCGTGGATGTGTTTCTATACATGGAGGCACAGATGACTGTAATTTGGACTAACATAATGATCACAACATCTACTCACAGCAAACAGGACGATATCTTTGATTGTTGCCAAGGACTTCAGTTTGATCACGTCTTGATTCAAGGGAATTTGTGGAACAACAGTGAAACTAGAGAGAAACCATTTCACACTGAAGGTCTTTTGAACGTCTTAACTTTTATGCTGTTTTTCACTGGGTTTTACTTGTTCGGAGCCCAACAACAAAAGATGATACAGAAAGCCATTTAACTCATTGCATAGTGACATAAAACATCATCATGACAATATCATGAAAATAAAATAAAATGACAAAGACAGCCTATGTGATGTTAGCATCTGAAACCTGCTACTGACGCAGCCACAGGTTATATAGTAGTTGTGCATTTCCTCAGAGCACAACATTACATTAAGACACAAATGTAATGCATGTTTTTTTTTCAGTCTGTATATCTACAAAGGGAGCCAGTACATTAGTATGATACTGCAATGGTGTGTGTGATATTATTTACAGAGAAGAATTGTCTTCACATTATTCACAAATCATTCTACAAAGCAGCAACTGTTGCAAACTGTTGGAATATTGAGTCACTGAATTTCACCTTTTTCATTACAGTCATATATGCATCATGATGTTCGCCTGTTGAGAAGTCACGACATACATGTTCAGTGTTGACTACGCATTTTAAAAGATAATACTGCTTTACTTATGCATACATATACTGTAAATAAAATATTAAATATCAAACTAAGTCTTTGGCAAATGTAGTTAAAAGTACATTCACAAAATATTTTTCCAAAAACGCAAACTGAATCAGTATTTCCTTTCAGTCCCTATGGAAAGTTGAACGTAACTCAAGGAGGGTGGTGAACGTGTGTTTGTAAAGGCAATTAATTTCATTGAACAGGCATGAATTTAAGTTGAAAAAACAGGTTTGTAAGGCAATTGTTGAAGCTAATTTACAGTCGGTTCGCTCAACTGCGTACAGCTTTCTAAACTGTGTAGGCATCTAGTGGTATGACTAAGTAGCTGAATGAAGTATAACCCAGGAGAATTGAAAGGATTTGTTCATGTAGCCAAAGAGCTATAGCTTACAATGTCTTCAGAAATGTGAAAGCATCACTTTTACTCTGTAAAACATGTCTGTCTGTCTGTCTGTCTGTCTGCTTTGTGTTCTTACACCTAAAACATAAATATTTGAAACTTATGCTTTACCTTGGTAGGCTAATTAAACTTAATTTTATGTGAATGTACCAAATAAATCAAATAAGCTGAGGTTATAGTGCAAAAAAAGAGCAAAGGACGGTCATGCATGGACATGGACGTGACTGAAAAATGAGGAAAATGTGACAACTATTCTGAAAAATCTTTGATGCCATTTTTTTTTTTTACATTAAAAAATAGTGACAGAAAAAAATAATTTAAAGTATTCAAAATTCTGGCAAGACCATTTTGAGCTCATGGTCACCGTATTTGTAATACTTTGAAAAATGATTTACATTTTTTACATCTGATTGTTTGCCACAGGGAGCGTGATGTTGCCATTGGTCCATACAGGGTGAGTAAACGTTGTAGGACATGCTGTGTTTATCTGATAACGTAGGTGGAAAAATGGGAGCAGAAGATGTAGTCAAAGCACCAGAGTAAAGCCCGCCCTACAGTGTGGGGCCGGGATCTTATTAAGTGTCAGAGGGGCCCCACAACACTGGTTCAAGTCGCTGCATCATCAAGCTATGGGACCATTGTCATCTCCCCTGGACTTCTCTCTTTACAGCAGAAAAATACTGCAGTTCTTGACGTAAAGGAATGTGAGGATCCATGAATAAAATAACAACAACAACAAGAGCAACAAAGAAACAAAAATAAAAACCCACAACTTTTTTTTCACATGGTATTCTTCACACTGTTTTTCTTCAATTTATATTTTATAATATATATATTTATATAATCTCTTAAAGTCATTCTGGAAATGTTCAGGCCTGTGAGAGAGTGAGGGCATGATGGGTGAGTTCTGAACGCCCGTGGGCCACTTTTTTGGCCCAAAGTGTGTTGACGCTGAAGCTGGGCTAGATGCACCGGCGTCAACCTTTGCTGATCCTTCCTCCACATCACAAAACATCACGAGGGGGGGGGGGGGGGGGTTTCCTTTAGGATTCCACCTCGCTTCCCTTTGACCTCAGTGTTTCTCAGACCGGGACAATATGGAGGCCGAAGCCCTGGCCCTGCAGTTTGAGCTGGTCTCCATGGTAACTAGTGGCGGTCGTAGGCAGTGGCAGCAGTGGGAGGTGCGGAGCCACGGGATGCGGCACTATAATAATAAGGGGAACCTGAAAGTTAACAGAAGAACGAGCCGTTGGAAACCATGAGGTCAAACTTCATGTAAGACATGTGTTTAAAAGCCCCGAGGACAGAGAATACAAGGAGATTTTTGAATATGACTTTAATTCATGTAAGATCAAAGTTCATTAATATTTTCATTAAATAAGACAAAGGCACTTACTTAGTAATGCTGGATTGCTGAACCGCCATGCTTCATTATAAGTGGTGTATTGTGGATGAGAGTAAGGGTTTCCAGAAAAGTCCCCTCCTACAGAACAAATCAATGAAAACAAACATTAGCAAAGAGCTAACAAACTGAAATGATCGACAACCTTCATAAAACATTCATTTGTAAAAAACGTTACATTACAGTCTTGTCACACAACAATGTTTTTGAGGCATCTGTGTCCTGGCTGTTTGTTTAGCTTGTCTCTATAGTCCCTTCAGGTGAATTGATTGTTTTATTAATCCCCTGTTAGTCTTTAGGATTTCCTCTATTATTTCCTTAAGTGAGGACTTCAGTGCGTTCCCCCCCCCCTGCTTTTAAGTGATGATGCCTCGCTTCAAAACTCCCTAATAGGTTCTCTGAGACTCTCATTCTCTCTTTGTCCTCCAGTGCAGGTCGTGGTGGAAAGGACGGGAGGCTGAGGGGATGTCATAGAGCGATGCTGTGGGTCCACAGGTTTCTTTTTTTTTATGAGACTATAAAGGCTGGGTTTTATATGAAGCTGCTGAAAAATGGCCTTTGCTTTAACAGTGTTTGGGGCCAGTCACTAAATCTTAGTCATTCACCACCAGATGAAAAAAAAAAAAAATGCCAATGCCTGGATTAAGAAGGCATATGTGCTTGTGTGCTGGTACGTTTTGAGCAAGTGTGGTATACAGTATAATCCAGTAAAGCAAAACTAATTCTCTTAATTTGATTTGAGATATCAGCTCTTACCTCCGTGGATATCGTGCACACTGAGCTCACTTGTAAATACTGCACGCCTGCTTTGATTATCGAGTGAAAGGTACATGTCTCCGAGCAATAAAGGGAATTGTGTTTTCAGTTGTTTGGAGGAGAGATCTACGCACGCTGGCAGCTATAGCATCCTCACTGCTGGTCGTGTAACTGGAGCTCATCCCTGAGAGAGATAGTGATTTAAATATTTACAGGCCCTCCACGCCTCTGTGTTTTGACCCTTAACTGTTTGCTGTGAACCTGAACTGCAGGTTAAGTAGAGGGGAAAGAGATACGCTCTGCAGCCCTGAGTGTCCGGGGAGGCGAGGAGAGGAGCAAAAGCAGTGTTTATCGACGGGGCTGGTGAGAGTGCGCTGTGTGGACACGGCGAGGGTAATGAGCGCTGGGAGCTGGAGTGTAACTGAGAGGAACTGTCCTATCTCACGGCCACTGATTGTGGTGATCGCCTATCGAGTTCATCTAATGTCCTCATCCGCAGATGCTAACCACACGCTAACCGCAGTCTAACAAAGCTATAACAAGCTCTCTTCAATCCTCTGAGTCTGGAACAATGATTTGAACTTCCTTCACTATCTCAGTAGTGACTGGGAGTTTGTATGAGTTTCTAGTATACATGTGTGCTGTTAAAGAAATCACAGAGAAGCATTCACACCTGTTTAGCTTAAAGTCACCTCAAGTTGTTTAAGCAAGATCAACTGAAGGGGAATATCTGGTGAAATTAATGGCATCGTAAAAAGGGAACAGTGTCACCTACCAGGAACCATTCCAGCGAGTGTGGAGGTGGGGTAGCTGCCTTGTCCTGTGGGGGGGACATGAGGCGGGTAGCCAGGTAAGGTGGTGCTGGCCATGTCTCGACCTGCAGGCAGGAGGAAAACGGTTACAAGGATGCTTAAACACAGAACAGCACTTTTGTTGAGGAAGAAATATAGGCTAGTGATTTAATTCAAAGTCATTGTGGGCTTTTTCTGACCATAATCTTTCTTCAACTGTAAACAAATTCTGCAAGTAAACACGACCATAAAAAAGTTGAATCATCCTTTAGTTGCTACAGGCAGATATCGTACTGTGAGTGTGGATATAGTAGGAAATCAAATTAAATTTGCTGTCAGTGAACATTTTTGTGATAAGCTCAGTATCATTTACATATATAAACTCAATTTCTAGGAGACGGGGTTGAAGTTTTTTGTGTTTTTCCACACTTGTTTTGAGCAGGGGTAATTTCTCCTCTTGACCCTGAAACCTATTTCGCAAACAGGACACAAACTAAAGTCACCAACAGTCACAGCCACAGATAATGAGAAGCTATGCCTCTGTCTGTAACAATACATCACATCATTAAATTCTTTATGTGAGATCATTTAGAAATAATCTTAAGAAAAACAGTTCCAAGATGCTAAAAATTATGTTTCATGAAGTTGCATGTTGATCATCCATTTTCTGAAGTGCCTATCCTGTCTGGGGGTTGAGGCCTATCCCAGCATGCACTGGGTAAAAGCCTGGGTGCACCCTGGACATGTCACCGTTCATCACAATTTGCATATTGACTTCAGGAAAGGTTAAGTGTAAGTTATTTTTAAGAAATCGTCTCATCAGACACTGCAACTACTGCAGCATTGATGTACCACTGTCTGACAGGAGCATCGGGCCAATGAGAGCTCTCTCTGCTCCCTGCTCCACATTCAGCTCTGTAATTAAAAGTGACAGCATCGGGCCTGGTTGGATGAAGGGGCACACAGGACAGGGAGTTATGGGTCCAAAGCAGGCCCCAGCATCAGCTCTACATCTCTGCCTCTGCCTGCTAACCCCCCCCACACACACACACTTTCTGCCTCGCCTGGCCCCCCAGACCTCGGGCCTGTCACGAGGCTGGAAGGACCTGGAGGTCTATTGTTAACCCAAGAGACGAGCAAGAGGTCAGTGCTGGAGAAAAGCAGGGTAAAATGGGGGAGAGAGAGCAGTCTCTCGTTAATGAGGGGCAGTCAGTTTTGCTCCTGTATACACAACAGTAAAGCCACAAAGCATGATGGGATTGATGGCTTTCACTGTGAATAGTACTTTCTTTAATTTGGTGTGGATTTGAGAATTATTAAATTATATAAACACAGAGTTAAATGAAGAATATAAAAATCAACTGAACAGAGTGAGCTTGGTTGAATTTTGATCTGGGTATGGGGCCTTATGGGTAAAAATGTACCTGCTATAAAGGGTTGGCTGGCATACTGGCTGTAGCAGGGGCCGTGGGCATGGGCAGGGTAGCTGGGAGTAGAGGCATCTACAGAGAGGCGGGACTGGTGGGGCAAGATGTCAGCTAGAGCAGAGTCCCCAACAGAGGAGGGGGTGAAGGGGGCAAAGGATGCCTCATGGGGCTCCCGCTTTACACACATGGAGGGTGGATATGATGGGTGAGAGTCTGCCAGGCGGAGACAAAAGAAAAAAAAAACTAGATATAATGTAGACATGCAACTCCTCACATACTGTACATACATTCAATTCAATCACTCAGATGTATGGTGGGATGGATGTTGTATCACTCTCTAAATGTCCAAAAAAAAAACAAAAGAAAAACTACTGTGCAAAGGCAAAAACAAATCAAATCTGTCACAGCAGACATTTTTAGATTTGTCATGCACATAGCTACAGGGCAATAAATCAAACACAGACAGGGTGTCAAGTCCTTAGCAGGTTTATATTATGAATTAAAAGGAACCTAAAATATGAGGAACACTACAAGAAGTACACTTGCTCCTGTACATTAACTCCCAGTCTTTTACCAGCTCAAAACCAGACATATGGATTCATATGAATTCTGAATAGATAATCAGTCTTTAGCTGTTGATTTGTTCATTTACATAGCTTATAATAATAATCTCATATGCATCCAGCAGTAATTCATTCAACTAAGTGGAAACATACACCAGTGAAATGTTTCAACAACACATCGCGCCTGATCAATCAAGCTCAAATGCGTAAAAAATTTCCCCAAGGTTTTGGGTAAACAAACAACATAATCTCACGGCTGCTTTCTCACAACAAAATCACTCCCACAAATAACCAAACAATCGGCTCGCAGACAGTTCAAAACTCTACACTTTGATCTAATTTGGCTGATGAGTCTTGGCATCTTTCATTTCACTGGCTCTGCCTCTCGAACCTATGTAAATCAATGTGAGCTCTGTCTCCGGCCTCTCCACGTCTGCTGCAGAGCCTGCACTGTTCGCTGGGGCCTTTAGGGAGAGATGGCTCTTTCCCGACACCATGATAGCCTCATTAGCTGCTTCCCCCATCATTGTTGTTTTACAACAGGACTGTGTGTTGCGATTCCTCATTAAGATAAGGGCTGTTCTATGGAAGGGGGAAGCAACCCTGTTTAGCCCTATGAGCCTAATTCCAGGGAATCAGGAAACGTTACTGTCTGCTTTCCCATAGAAATCTATTGCAGGTTCTCCAAATCTCTATCTCCCTCTTTGTCTTTGTGACAGCTGTAGCTGCTGATTTAGACAGAGGTACTGCAATTACACTGAATACCCTCATCTCATTTAGACAAATACCATTGTTATCGAGGAAACGACACAATGTACAATGTACATTTCTGACTTATGATCAAATCATTAAAAAGAATGGCTGCCATGAATCCCTGGTGTGAACAGAAATATTGTAACGAGTAGCCTTTGCGTTTAATTGGGTGGACCCTAAGTTTGTCACATGCACTGTACAAGTGTATGTATGTCATAAATTTATTGGGCACGGGGGCTGCATATGGGAAGCATTGCAAACGGCTCAGTTCTGCTCTTCAGTTAATTATAGCTAAAGTATTAAAAGTTAAAACAGCTTTCAAAAGTCCAGTTGATTTGGATGCAAAACAACCCCCACCCCTCAGAAGAAAAAAAGCAAGCATTCATTAATACAATACAATATAGCAGATGATATTAGCCGTTAGCCTCTGTCGGAAACACCATAAAAGCACTATATTCAACATACACCTAGAGCAGTGGCACTACACATTCACTGCAAGCCTAAAACATTTAGCAGGAATTTCACAGCCAACCAAGAAGCTACATTGGAGAACAACGTTACAGCAGCCATACATACTAAAAAACATCTGGAAACCACTGGAAAAAGACATAAATGCTCTAAAATGCTCTAAAAAGCCTCAGATGGCTTGTTAAGTGAACCTTGCTCACACAACTACCGTATATCAGGGTGACACTGGGTCACGTTAACACTAAGACATGAATCTGAACTTTAGGATGATACTTGGTGCACCAAACATGGAGCCCGGGCTGAGCCTGTTTACACTGTATCTGAGACTTCCTGCATACTACTGTAGGCTTCTGTTTTCTCAGCGCCTGAGCAACCGTTGTCAAACAGACAGGGGTTACGACGCAACAACAACTGATACAAACGCTGCGTTCAAGACCACTGAACTCTGAAACTAATCAGACATGGTGTTGCTTATTGTCCTGGAGACGAGGCAGAGCCCGGGTAAAGGGAGCCTGTCAAATCACAGGCCTTGATGATGGAGATGGAAGATAAACTCAGGGTCCTTGGGGACTCTTCTACCCAGCAAACACATCTCTGAGAGAGTGGAGACGCTATAGAGTTCTCCAACATCTGTCTCTGCTCCACCATTGATACCACGTCTACAGACCCCATCAACCATAGAAATGGACTGTTAAGAACCTACAACAGTCCTCGGAGTGATGTGTCCGAATATAGCTGCAACAGTCTTCTCTCAAGTGAGCATTTCATTTTTAAACGTACACCAAGGAACTTGGATGCGTGAACCATTTACTGGCAGAACTCTTGTTTTGAAAGGCTGACATTCAATCTACAGAGAACTTTTTCACTCCTTCTGTATGTTGAAAATCACAGCAAAACTTCCCTCTCGTGTAGGTAGGGCAAAGTCATCTGGAGACAAGTCTACAGAGAATTGAATGTTAAATTCACCTCAACATGGACACAGTCATGTTTGCTTCAAGAACAGCCAGTTAAACCTCTGCCTCAGCTTTCCTGCATTGTAGAGGTGGTAATTTATAACCACTTACACGAGACAGGGACAAAAGCACGATTGTCAAAGGCTGCATCCAATTGTGAGTGAGTAAAGAATATTTGCGGGGGCCAGATAGCTTGAATTCCTCCATCCACATGTTTAAAGTAATTCATTATCAAATGTGTGCTCAAAGGTTAGTGTTGCTATTGTGGGGGGTTGATATAAACATTAATTTCCGAGCTCGGGGCTGGGGGCGTTAAGTGAGCTGAGACAAGCCGTTTGTCACCAGGCCACACACCAAGCACCGCAGGTTAGGTGGCTGCTTGTTGTTTGCCACCCAGCAGAGAGTAGCTGGTGCTGCCAAGTCATAAAAGAGGCTCAAAGTGTGGTGAACATTTGAGCTCAGATTAATTTGAATGAAAATGTTATTTTTTCACCGCCACGCTCTCAACTGTAGGTTTGTCATTTTTCACTCACAGGGAGAAAGAGACATAGAAAGGTGAGAAGGCAGATAGATATAAAGACAGAGGGAATAGCATTGAATCTTCACATCTGCTAGAGGTGTAGAAGGTCAGAGGGGTGCCCATTTACACCCAGCCTCCCTACAGGCTCTGGTGAGAGTGATTATCGAGCGCAGCCTGCACAGAGACCACCAAACTCTCATTGGGCATAACCCTATTTAACAACTCATAAGTAGCTACAACATTATACCAAATATAAAGCATATTTCAAGACCAGAATGACTAAAGTCAAGATGCGCAGGATCTGCGGGTTGCTGCGTGTTGCTCTCTCTGTTCTTTCTGTTCAGGTATTAACGCAAAATTGTGCAGACATACAAATGCTGGACCAGAGCCAGAGTCCAGGGGTGACTCATGACATGTTTGGACGCACTGAAGAGTTCACAGTGTTCACCTGCTGGATACAGACACAGGAGTACAACAGCTTTTCTACAGCCTGTACACACTGAGACAAAGTGCTCCATTTACTTCTGATCCAGTGGAATAAGCCCTATTTTAAGCAAATCTATGATGTTGCTCAATTGATATGATCTACAAAGAAGTTTAATATAAATATTGAAAATCTAGCCCTCCCTCCTAGGTAACTGTGTCTTTCACACATTAGGGTAAACAGAGGACACAAAAGATGGCCGACATTGCTTTCGCTATAGCGCCCTTGGAATGCAAAACTGAGCACTTCATTAATCATTCATCTTTAATAGATTATGCAAATTTCAGGACATAAAAATCAACAAGATCAATAACTGCATGAATTTTAATTGGGAGGCAGAAAACATTTAAAGAATGAATATAATCTCATAGCTCCATCCAGTATGAGAGCATAATTTATTGATAATTGGATCTCAGCCTAAGTGAGGAAGGCAATTTAGCATTTTTTCAGCCTTGGCATACATTCCTATTTACAGGGTTTGCTAATGGCAGAAAAAATAATATTATGCACTAACAACCTACAACCAATCAAATGCTTCATGCATTACTTTGCATAGTCGTGAAAATTAAGTAATAAAAGTTTACTGGTTATTACTTCTGAGTTTAATTTGGAGCTTAGAATACTCAGACACTGTTTTTAATGGCTGTATCAAAGTATGTTGTCATATTCCACTTAAAGTTTTGTAAATTGACCTCCTCATTATGCAATCTGTGGCCCTCACATATATTGCTTTAGGAGGCCCCAGGCCCCCAGGTGGCTTGGAGGCCACCTGCTATGAGTGTGCTCCCCAGAGCGAGACCGCTTTCATAGGAGGAGCCCGGCATAAAAGACAAAAACACACCTTTCTTCTCCTGAGGCCCAACTTTCTGGGGCAAATCTACCTCCCACATATTCAGGAATAAAAAAAAAGGGTTTTTCTTTTCCCATAGCTCTGTGCCTGGGTCTGGGGCTGGACTATAGGGATCATTTGAGAAGGGCCACTGCAGTTTTCAATCATGCTGTCCTCCTCTTTACTTACTTGCTTTCTCTCTCTCTCTCTCTCTCTCTCTCTCTCTCTCTCTCTCTCTCTCTCTCTCTCTCACACACACACACACACACACACCACAGTGGATTCATTGACTTTGATGCCCACTGCATAATTATGGGCGTTTTATTAAAAGGCTGGCATATCATTCTGGAGTCAGTGTGGCCATCAGTAAACCTAACCTCTCCTGGGAAAGCGCCTCAGCAGCCACAATGAAACAATATTTCAATTAACCAGGCGGCCATCTACCTCGACAGCAGAGCAAAAGAAGCCAGTGTGCAATGCAGGGTGGGTTAGTGTGGGTTATATGATACAGATAGTTAATACTGCACGATATTCAATACACTGCACCTGCCATTACCTGCAGGCTCTCAGTGGAAGTTACTCTTGAAAACAGCAGCCAGTTCATAAATTGGAGAAAACCCATAATTTCAGTGTTTCTTTAACTGCCTGTGTCTGATCAGTATCTGGGTCTCTCTCTCTCTCTCTCTCTCTCTCTCTCTCTATCCACAGCATGAGGCAGCCAGCCAGCCACGGTGCTATTCCAGCCGCTGTCAATCAACAGGCTATCATAGCCTTTGATGACAACGTCGTGTCGCGGCGAGAACAGCAGCTGTCTCTTATGAGAAGTGCTCCGAGTCAATCTGTTAGCAGACCAATCCAGGCTAACACAATAGCCAGTTAGGAGCAGTGTGTGAAAGGCCTGTAGGATTTAATGGGCTCAGATGATATATCACCTTGCTCTGGAAATAAACACACAGAGTGCCTCAAAAAAAGAAAAAAAAAGAAAAAGTACCATGAATGAGCTTTTTCATTTGGTGATAAGAGTTTTATATATCGCTGGAAAATGTGCGTTCCATCAGGAAGTGGCAGACAAAACTTTGATGAGTCGATAATGCTGCAATATCTTAAAGCAGAATGTGATTTTCTTCCAATACATGGTCCACTCTGTTGACTAATTCTTTTCAGAAAATAGTGATAATAAAAAAGATTTATTATAAATTTATGGAGCTTTAAGTTTTAATTCTTTTATCCCTGAGAACAATACGCACAATGAAACCCAAAATCCAACAAGAAATTATCCATATTATTATCAGTAAATATATTGTGGGTATACTATGAAGCCATCATTTACCAGCTACAGTATGTAGCATGTAGATTCTTCTGATCATTGGAGTGAATTTGACTGAACTTTTGGACTTTTTTTTTTTTTTTTTTTTACACTATGTTTGTGTTCTGAACACCGAGTCCTGTAAGTTTCGACCAGATGTCTTCGACCTGCTGCAGCGATGTGTGTTCTTTTAGGGATCAATGTAGCGTGAGTCAGATTGTACCTGTCACAACAGAGTAGCTCTGGGAGACACTGGAGGCGAGGTCGGAGCTGGCGCTGGTGGAGAGGCTCGGCTTCACGTCTTCCAGGCCAGTGTTCAGGGATGGGAGAGAGTACTCATTCGCCTGTAGATGAATAGGCAACAAATGCAAAAAAAAAAAAGTCAAGCGGAGGGATGCACCTGTGAACGCCGATTCACTTCTCTCTATGTAAAATCATTTCACATTCCACCATACTGTGTCATGATCTGGTTAATATCACTGCTCTGCTACATGCAAGCCCCCTTTTGGGTTACAGATTTGTAGCAGATCTGCAGTTCAAGTGACGATATGTGAAATATGTCTGAAGATAACCCCCTGGTGTATCTGAGGAAGCTGTCTGTGATCCTCTCACTGTGTTTTCTTCTGAATATTTCCGGTGAAATCTGTGAACACCACCACCAACCCCCCCCCCTTTCCCCTCAACCCATCCCGTCCCCGCTCCCTGTGCTTTACCAAGACCCATGATGTATGCATGCATTAGGGCTTGTCTGAGGAGAAGGCAGAAAAGGGAGAGTGGGATGAGAGAGGGATTGGGAGAAGAGTGAAAGGACGGGGTGTCAGCTGGCTCTTTGTGCTCCACTGCAGTCATCCCTGTGACCAGTCAAGGGAGGAGACATTCAGGGCTTTGTTACAGGAGAGACATGTGGTGTGTGTGTGTGTGTGTGTGTGTGTGTGTGTTTGTGTGTCTGTGTGTGTGTGTGTGTCTGTGTTTTTTTTTAAAGGCGAGTACAACCTCAAAATCAACCTTTTTGCTTTGCCTCCAGGATGAACACATAAAACTGGGTTAATAAAATGATAAAATAAGGATGGTGAATATTGTTGCTATGCTTTTCATTAGTCCTTTCTTTTACTTTATATTTGAGGTTTTTTCATGTTGCACAATTTCTCATTCAAAAAAAAAAAAAAGAGCAAAAGTGTACTGTACTGCACGAGACTTCATGTGAGGCTCAACTACTAACCAGTCTCTTTAGTGTTAATTCACTTTAATCTCAGGTTTAGACTACGCTAGCAGCTGTGAAGAATCCTGTTTTTTAATGAGATGACACTTCCTGACCTGACTCTTTAAAAGGATAAGTGTGTCTGCACACATTTGTGTCTGCAAGTGTTTGTATCAGACTGCGTGTGTGCATCTGTTTGTCTCAATGGGACGGGGTCCCACAGGGGCAAGCTGGTGACCCCAGTCTTGTCTGCCTCTATCCCAGATAAACTCTAATTGTCTGCTTACAACTGTTCCCTGGCACTAGGCTGGATGTTCCTCTCTATTCCGCTGGGCCTCAGCAGCACAAGAGCCATTTTGTCATGCAGATGGGCTGTGGGCAGGGCTGGGCAGGGCTGGGCGGAGGGCGAGTGGCAAGCACAGAGGGCCCTGAATGACCTGACCACATGGCTGCCAGAAGTGTGGGAGGGATGAGGCCTATTCAGCCTGGCCTCTTCAAAATGGCTTTTTAATGCCCTGACGCAGACACCAGACAAGCCCCTAATAGCCTAATATCCCACCTTTTCACCAGTTTAAGAAAAGGAGGGGGTGTTGGAAACAGGAAGAAAAAAGGAGGTGCACAGAAAGAGTGGAAAGCAGCCTGATTAATATTACATTAAATTAAAACTGATTTTTCTGGACCATTCTGACGCCGTTTTTCTCTCCCCTCCTCCACCTTCCTCTCGCCTTTCTAATACCTTCTCCTCCACTCTTTGTGATTGCAAGTCATTTCCAATTCGTTTTGGTATTGATCTTGCCGTAGAAATCACTTTGGTAATTAGCTGCATTAGGGGCTGTATAGCAGGCTGAGGGGCTGTCCCTCTGATTTATCGCCGCTGTAATTCCCCGCGATCGCGCAGAGATGAAAATGAACTCAATTAGGGCACTGCTAAGGCTGCATGGGCACCCACATAGAGTTCCAATGGAAAAATTAATAGTCTCTTGTTGTTTAACAGTCTAATGAATGTAAATAAAGGTTATCCGCTGTAATAGGCTGTAGGCTCGTAGGCTGCTTTGAGCGAGAAGTTGTGCAGAGCTTTTTAGTCACCAGTGTCAGAATGTGCGGCAGTGTATTCACTATATAATGTTAGAAATCTGTGTAAATTATTTTACCGCTGGCCGCTACAACCTGAGGACAGACAGGAAGGAAGAAGCCAGGGTGTAAGTGCAGGGTTGAAAAAGTCAACGTTAGAAAGAAATATGTCCGGCCAACCTGTTCAGGCTTGATGTGTTCTGAAGTGGGGAAGACATCAGGATAAGAAGGACGTTCAAACACACGGTCCAGGGCCTCCAGCTGCTGCTGGGTGAAGGCGTCTGCTCGCAGATGCTTCCTTAAACTCTCCACGCTGCCCTGAGAGTCGCTGCCAGGGCCTGAGCCATCAGAGCCATCTAGAGAGAGAAGGAGAGGAGGAACGGAGGGAGGAAGGGAGGGCGACAACAATCTGCATCAGGGAATGGCTCGGCTTTTTTTGTTGACATGATTCTAGCAATGTGAGATAAGCATGAGGAGAACATTTGTGAGCTCAACGGGTATGAGAGTGATGGCATGAGGAGCAGTAGTAAATTCAGGGAGACCCACCAGCATGTCTGCCTTTCATCTCCCTCTCTGTTTTTCACTGTCTCTCTCTTCCTCTCGCACACATACACTCACTCAAGCAGCTCTCCGCCTCCCCCCACCTCTCCTCGCGGCCACCATCAGCACGGTCATCATGTGATAGGTCTATGGTAATTGATGGATTACCTTCAGTGCAAATATATACTTGTAAGGGAGAGCGTGTGTTTCAGGAGGAGAAAGTAGGGCTGGCGATTACATACAGAGCCTCTCATTCTGCCAGCGGGAAATGGAGAGCCATTATTTAACTGTACTATTTCCTCCTGAACATATTACCCTTCCCTCTCTCTGTCTCTCTTTCTCTCTCTCCATCCCCCCACATATTGCCTGTCTTCTGGAAAACAGAATGGAGTGGGGACGGCACTCAGGGCCGAATGAGGACGGGGCGTCGAGGGCAAGCGTATGCATTTCCTCACTCGGTCACACTCTATATAAACAAATGAGCCTATGCTTTCCTCGTTCTCCTGATCTCTGACCCTATCAACTCTGCTAGGGGAGCCCACCGCCACCGCTACAGCTCTCCCTCTGCTCACTCATCAAGTCCTGAACACTGAAAGAAAAAAAAAAAAAGAAAACGCAGCTAAAACCTCCAGCCAGCATCCCAGGAACCTCCACTCCACCGCTTGCCTCCCGCCACCCTCCCTTTCCTCCCTATAACCCACCGCCAACAGCGGATGAAGGCTTTAGCTCCCGTACAAATCTGTCATTCTAAATTTGCAGCAGATTATGTTCTCTCCTGGGCGAGCCAGCGGTGATATATGATATGCAAGGCCGCTATTGATTGCCTGATCCGCCAGCAGAGGAGGGAGGCGAAATGAACTTGGAATGAACATCATGCCTCAACTCATTGTGCGTATAATACTCTACTTAATCCCACATTTTTCTGTGCTATGGAATTCAATTGATCAATCATGTTCCACTGATGGTACCATTTCAGGGGCGTTATTGCCATTCTGCTCGGCTGCTTGACCTTTTTTCAATGGCTGAGGCCAGAGGATGAACCCGACTCGCACCAAGAAATAGATCCATGGAGAGAATGGAATGGAGAGCTGCAATTGGGTATGAGTGTGTGTATGTGTAGAGAGGAAGGTGTGTGTTGGCGGGTAAGTATATGTGAGTTTCACCACTAAAATATATTGACTTTAGCTTTGTGTAACGTTTACGCAGAAATCCGTTTTTTTTTTTGTTTTTTTTCTCCGACCACATGTGCTTTTCCTTCCATCAGTATTTTCGCGCAGGCTTTTTTCTTTCTTTCTTTCTTTTTTTCAAACAGCTCCTTTGGGTGAAGGGCTGGTGGTTGGTGGTGGAACAGCATTAGTGTTGCTGTATGAAACTCAATTGTTGTCCGTGGTACAGGCGAAAATGGAGTCATTAATTACCTCGTATCAGCTGGTCTGAGAAAAGAGGCAAGCTCGATCAATAGCAAGTGTTTGTCATTCACAATGGAGGATGCATGCGTACACTCAGCAGCAACCCCCCCCCCCCACACACACACACACACACACACAAACACACTCCACCAGGCTTTCTGAACTGGCAGCAAAAGGACATACATTGCCATCACAGGATACTTATTTTGTGCACTTTCTATAATCCAAACACAATGAAAAGCCTCATTACCAAAAGTAAAAACCCAATTTTGGAACCTGCGAATTGGCTGATTAACAATAAACAATGACTAAATCTATATTTGCAACACTGTGATGTTGTTAAAGGTTTGTTTACACCAGTAATGGTTTAAAAACTGCAGTGAAACAGGCCTGATTTTTCAATCATGTTCCTTTCAGAAACACACTTTTTTTTTTTTTTTCATATCTACCTCTTCAGTTATCTATGTGAATATATTTCAAATTTATGTTGCCAAAAAAAATTAGTGATTTGGCTGTTAAATAGAAATAATAGTAAATCGTTTATTTTCAGAATTTGCCATTAGAGGTTCATGTTTGACATATATCATGAGAGAGCTGCAATAAATCAGATTCATCCTTTGACAGTCAGCGTGTCAAGTGGAGTGTGAAGCCCGACTGTCAGATGTGTGTGTGTGTGTGTGTGTGTGTGTGTGTGTGTGTGTGTGTGTCTCATTGACTGGCTTTTTTCATTTTCTCACTGTTTCTTCAACCCCTTTGGGTGTCTCAGCAGGTATTCTCTTATCACTCCCACAGCACCAGCTGACTGCATCTCTTTGTTTTAACACCAAAGTGTGAGGAGACAAGCCGAGATAAAAACAAGACTCTCCAACGGTGACATTCACACGTCATCCCTAAAGCAAAGGTCTTTCTGGTAATTGCTCTCTTTGATCGCCTCGAGGAGCCTTATTGTGTCCAGAAGTTGAATATTTCATCATGATGTATTGAAACGTTTTAGGTGGACTACGCAGCTTTGTACCAACTCAAAGCGTCTAAGAGAAACGCGACCAGTGGACAAGAAACTGCAGCTGTTTAACAATACTGTGATAAAAGTATGTAAAAAGTTGCTGTACACCTTCAGCAAATTAGTACTCATTTCAGCCATACACACACACATACACACACACACACACACACACACACATACATACACACATATATAGAGTCAACCAATGACAGTAGCAACTCTGACACAGACTACAATGGTATCAAAAGCTGTTCTGTCTTGCTTTGTCTCTAAGGGGGATGTTAACGTCCTGTGTTGGCACGGTGGCACTTTATGTCCTTCTTTCATCTCCCCTGTTCCTGTGATAAGATAACTCAGGAGAGAGTAGAGGTGGGGGCTTGTTTGAAAGGCAAATGAATTCCTACACACTGCCTGGCTCTCTCCGTAAATCAATGACACGGGGTTTCCTAGATCAGAGGCTGCGAGTCGACCGTTTACTTATTCGTCCTCTGCTGATAGGTGAAATGATGCTATCGCAAATTGTGGATCATTTGTTGATGTTTTTAAAAATGCAGTTGAGCTTGAAAAAAAAAGACAGAGAGAGAGAGAGAGAGAGAGAGAGAGAGAGGGCACAAACAAACTGGTATACCCAGAGGGTGAACACTCCTTCCCTGTAAGCTAGCTATATTTATGAAACCTCTGAAGCGGAAAGGAGAGAGGTGGGTGGGGTGGTGGAGAGAGAGGGAGAGAGGCAGCAACACTGCCATGGCTGTTAAGATCCTGTTATGTTGTGGCGTGTTTAAGAGCTTTATTAATTCGATTTAGCACCACCAACCAGTGTACTGACTGTCAGCAGGCATAGTGATGCTTATTTGATATTTGCACTCACCGCCAGCACTGAGGCTGCATCGATATTACTTTGAAGCACTCTAGTTATTTTATTTACTTTAATTCGAATACTCAGATCCAGGCCAACGCAGAAAGTTTATAATGAATAAATAAAAGCACACAACTATTTGGATCCAGCTCATGAGTGTATAATATTAATAAGAGGGTGGCTGCAGCTCCAGATGAGTCAACCCAGAGTGAATTGGACTTTAAATGTAAGGTCGGTGGTTCGATTCCTGGCCATTCCTCTGCAACTGTCAAAGTGTCCTTGAGCAAAACACTGAACTGCTCCTGAATATGTTTTTGTGTGGAAAAAAAAAATGTCAATTTGGACAAAAATACTACTTCACATCCAAATGAATGTAAAGTAATATTTGCACACTGTTTGAAACATACAGTAAAAATCTAAATATGTCAGTGCAGTGACACTATTGCAATATATTCTTCAAATAAGTCAAACAAGAAAGAATAAAGGACCACAACACTTTGTTTTGCACTGAAAACAAGTTTCAATCTTTTTTTTCACTTGTCTTAAGAGAATAAGTGAATTACGGCTCAGTTACAGACAAAAATGTCCCGATAAGAAGAATATTTTTGTCTTCAATATGACTCCATCCCCATCTCCCCCTTTTTTTTTGTCCTCCTCTGGACCAGTCTGTCGTTTAGCGTTGCCACCCTGTGTGGCGAGTATTTGTGGAAATGCAATTAACGTATGCCTTCTTTTCTCTTGCCTTCTTCTCCCTCCTCAAGCTGAGTAATGCATCGCTCCATTAATTCTCGGCATCGGCGCCCATAATTGACTTTTCTCTGACATGATTCCTCTCCATTGAGTGATTTCCCTCTCCTTATATTTTTGTGACGGATCTCGTTGTATATTGTTTACAAGTATATACGGGGTCTCACGCAGCCATGTTGCTGAATGCGAAAGACTGCAGAAAGACGAGGGGGTGGGGTGGGGTGGGGTAGGGTGGTTGGGCGGTGGGGGCGATAAGAGGAGAAATGAAATGTTGAAGAGAAAGAACGACAGAGATAGACCGGAGAAGGAGGAGGGGGAGAAATGCAATGTGGACCCTTTTGTGTCTTCCTCCACTGTCGGGGCCCTAACAGCTTCTTGTCTCTATGTTACGCTCTGTGGCCCCTCTCAAACCTGGGCTTTTCTCTCCGCACACACCCCATCAGGGCCATCATGGTGCTCATGATTCCATTTATTTCTGTCTCGCTTTGGATGCATTTATTTTCTAAAGTGATCCTCCATTGACTCATTGTCATGGACTGGCTTGACTAGCCAACCAGTGTAGGCCCAGGTTCAAATCCATACACTAACTGATTTAAACTCCACAAATGGGTCATATGTGTTAAAAGATACACACTGGACAATCTCCAAAAGGGCCAAATATCAAATTTGAACAAATCAGCGGCTGTATTCATTTTTCCTCCAGCTATTGAACAAGGTTGGTATGACTCTGGTTGCTGCGTACAATTCTTTTATTGTCATGAATGAACAACCTGCTGGGGCCATATTTTTTTTCTCCCTACTCACACACTCATCAGCTCCTTCTACACTCATCCCACACCCACGCTACAATCACAAGTTATGACCTTTGCTTTCTCCATCTAATTTATCACTGTAGCTCCCTACTGCCTGTCCTCCCTATGAGCTCCACTGGGCTCCATCCAGGACGTGGTAAGCCAGCGATGAGAGAAACATACAGTGAGGTCACATCAACCTGACTGCATACAGCAGCGAGGTCAGGAGGAAGTTGTCACTGTGGGCTAAGACTAGGAAAACACTGGATTTACATAAAGCTGCAGCTCGAACAGAAACTGCATTTCTATGAGAGGAGGGAACAAACGAGAGCAGGTACATCTCACAACATAATCAGCTCAAAATCCTCTCCGAGAAACAGGTGGAGGGCCCAAACTTTTCAAATGCGTGCATGGACTTCCATTATTATTATTATAGACATTTGACAACCGCACAGCAGTTGTCACCCAATCCTCTCTGTCTTTTCTTGGCTTCCACTTCCACCATAGGTTTAAATGACTGAGTGAGAGCATGCTGTACAACAGGCTAATTTCCCCACTTCACTATTAATGCATTTGGCAGGAACAACATCCCATTTCCTGTAATGAGATACACAAATAAATCTGGCTATGGATAGAGTCAGGGTGGGGTGGTGGCGGCGGTGGTGGTGGTGGTAGTGATGGTGGTGGGAAGAGGAGGAGGAGGAGGAGGAGGAGGGGGAGGAGGGGGAGGAGGGAGTAGGGGGCAAAGAAGGGGGGAGCGCATTGAGACGCATTCTCCCAGCTCTGGCATAATTGGTATCGCTGCTTGCAGACATGCAAACCAATCTCTCCACAGATAGGGCTGAGACTCTCTCTTTTCCCCCCTTAAGGCTATTTCTTTTGTCTTTTCGATAGCTTGCACATCCAAGATAGAGGGAGGGAGGGGGGGGCGAGATGTTAATTTGTGAATTAATAGCTTTTCTCTGCAGAATTGCAAATTCTTTTAAATGTCACTATGTTCATTGTAGGAGGAGCATCTGAAGCCACAGAGTTACTAACAGACACACGTTAACACACACATTTCCATGCATAGGTGTGCACATACGCATGCACAAATCCTAAAACTAATCCTTGCTCAACTCTCTGTGAGGCTGCCACGGCCTCTTCCTTCCCTCTTCACTTCATAAACCCTCTTTTTTTTCTCCCATCCCCCTGTTCCTCTCACTCTCTCTTTCTTTTCCTCCTCCCATCTTCACTCGAAGCCGTCCAGTGTAACATGCTACTTTTAATTTGCAATAACACATGACAAGGACAGATTAATGGCTCTTATGGCACCTATGTCCCTGAAGCTCGTCTTACGGGGACCCGGTGTACATAACGCATGTCACACTACATTATCTCTACAGCCCTCCGGTAATGGGGACCTTTTTCTTCCTCAAAGGGCAACCGCTGACTTCAGCCACACCGTGAACACACACCATCACAACACCAGCGGTGCAAGGACTGTGCAGTGCCTCTTTTCATGTTCAACGTGGTCAGATTAACGACAGTGCAGGAACAGACATGTAAAGCTTTGATTGGTTTACAGACATGCAACAAAGTCCAGGTCTCCCCTTGTTTTTGATGTATTTATTCCCTTACTTATCTATTCACTCATTTAGCACATTAGCAACATTTTAGCAGGTGCATTTCTGCTGTGACAGCCTTAGCTAGTTTAGGTAGACTGAGCCTTTTCTACTGTAGCAGCTGAGACTATACCTAAAGCTTTCTTTTGTAAGATAACAACAATTTTAAAAATGTGGATAATTGAAAATTACCAACAATAACTAAACGCAAGAGCTAGAGTGGCCAAATTAAGGGGAAATGCAGAGTTTAGAATAATTAAAAAAATTTAGTTTACAATAAACTGCATCTTGTTGCTGAAAATCCACACATATTTTTGCCTGATGACAATTCTAAATAAGCAACACTGCACATTACTGTATATTGAACTGCATGCCATTAAATGGAAAATACGATTTTCCACAGTCACTTTAGCTTAATTTATTTTAATTTCTCGGGAGATTATTTATTGGAAAAAATCTTCCCCCCGCCTCGTCCTCCTATAAACTCATAACCCTGGAAGAGCAAAAAGAAAACAGCAATAGAGAGGAAAGTTTTGTGATCTGATTGACCAAAGCAAAAGAGAAGGTTGTCTAACTTCAACTTACAATGTCCTATTTTCCTTCCATCCAAGTGGTTGCCACTCCAGAGAACTAAAGAGACAGAAACATAAAAGAAGGAAGTGGCCTGTTTTGATGAGTGCTCTTTGAGATAAATTTTCAACCATATCATCCCATCAGCCACCTCAAAGCAGCACCACAGAACCACACATATGCACACACACACACACACACACACACACACACACACACACACACACACACACACACAGACACACATATACACACACATGCACACTGGCACATGCACACGCGCAGCCCCCTCCCTGCCTCCACCGGTCTGTTCCTACACCTGTTCAGGCCTCCACCAGGGACATGTTAATTCATAGGCATTAAAAAAGCCAATTGTTTGCACAACCGATAATCTATTAGCCCTCAGGCCGTGTGTGTCCACTCTTGCCTCGCCTAGGAATGAGAAATTCTGGCTTGGACCGGATAGGCTTCCACTTAATCTTTGAGCGTATCTAGGTCTATTTTCTTGCCAGTCCCCTGGTATTGTATAGTCTAGTATGCAGTCATACAACAATACTTCATTATTGAGTTTTAAATGCTGTGTATGTATCTATATACTGCAGAATATTAAATGACTGGTAGTTAACTGATAGTATCAGGGGAAAGAATCACAAAAGAGCTTCGTTTTCTGCCTTTTGCTGTGATATAGAAATGAAGGGAGCAGCAGCACTGATGCCTTGCCAAGGGGGATTAGAGTTGTATGACAGCTATATGGGATAGCTACAGTACGCCTGAGCATGGTATAAAATTGAGACGCAGCTCTGTAGGCGTATGGTAAAACGTAGGGCATCAAAAAGCTGATTGAATCGCAACACTCTCTCAACACTTGCCCTGCCTGGTATACAACATAACAAGTCACTGGAGACAGCACACAGAAACACACTTGGCTGCAGCGCTGTCATAAATGCCATCTTCTTCACACACAGTAAAAAAAAAGAAAAAAAAAAAAGTAGCAGACGAGTGATGGAGAGAATTAAAAGGATGGAAAACAAAGGGATCTTGTGTCTCCCTTACCATCGTCTCGTTTCCTCTTCTCGCCGTTGGAGCGAGGGATACCCAGAATGCCGTTGATGGAGTAGGATCCTACGGGATCGTTGGAGGCGCTGGTCACAGGGGGGGAGGCTGTGCTGGGCACTGATGGAGAAAGCTGAGTTAGTGTGTGTACAGAAAGTGTGTCTGCCTGTGTGAGTGGGTCATTTGTGTTTTTATTCAAGTGCATGTACGTCGGAATGGCTAAGTGCATGTTTGTGTTCATATTGTGGTGTTTTTTTTTTGTTTTTTTTTTCCTTCCTGTTTCATCAGTTCTGATTGGCTCATTTGACTGTGCTGTAATCTGTGTGTGGCCTCATTCGCGCTCACCTATGGTGTGGCCGGGCGTGGAGAGCGGCGTAACAGATCCGTCAGGGGACGGGTGGAATTGCTGCTGGACTTTGGTGCGGATAATCCTGGTAAAGTGAACAACAGGCACGGATCAATCAATACTGCTTCCAGAGCATGGAGATTTCACACCAGCCCAGTTGCCCCGGGACACTTAAACACGGCACATCACGTCCACTTACGCCCATGCATGTACAAGTGCTCCATCGTTTGGGGCACTTGTATCCTCATATTCAGGCCCCTGTCACAAATAGCCAATCTCGGGGCCTTAGGGGCAATCTCCCGGCTCCTGTGTGAGGCTGAATAGGGGCTGCCCCCTGAGATTGTGGATTCAATCTAGTTGGATTCTGAGGTTAGAAATATGATAAAGTCCCCACACCAGTAAGATGTGATGTGGCGGGAAAGTCTTCATTGCACTTTGGTCTGAATGATCTTGCAAACAAAGCATGAAATCACATCAATTCACCTCAATGATCAGCTTCACTGGCTCTACCTGGCCAACTCTAATAATCTCCCTCTCCTGCTCCCCACTCCCTCTTTTCTGCTCCTTCTCTCTTTCTCGCTCCATCTCTCAAACCCGATCTTTCACTCCCCTCACCCCCACCCTCATCCTCTTTTCTCATTTCTTCTCTACTGTCCAATGTGCTCTCTGTTTTACTGTACTTTGCACTCCTCCTTTATCGTTCTTTCTCTCTTTATCCACTCCTCTCAGACTCATTTTTTGTATTCCTCTCTGTATTTCTCTGTCACCTCTCTGGTGTCTGTTGTAGTTTTCTTGGTCTTTTTGTTGCTCAGTGTAGCACACAGGAATCCTTCAGGCTCACTGAGGATCAGAGCCTATTGATTGGGACTCTGGGATAGAAAAGTTGACGACGGATGGCAGAGAGGAACAGCGAATGCAAATGGTGATCTATAAATTATATGTGACAGGAAAGCAATAGTGTCTCATTGGCCCAACCCGAGACCACTGCCACATCCAGTGTCTTTTAATTTGTGGTGCACTTTGAAATAAATAAATAAACTTTAGAGATGACAAAAATTAGGGGCTGTAGAGATAATGCTAATTTTGAAACGTTGAGGATTTCTGTAATTCTATAGACACAACAGGAAGGCACAATGGGATTTATACAATCTCAGCTTTAGCTCTTATGGGACATGATCGCATTACATTAAACCATGACTATGATAATCTTTTGACTGACAGACGAATGTTAGATCATTCAATAACAGGCAGCGTTGTGTACCGACAGAAATCCCACATGGAAGCCCCTCTCACTCAAGAGCTGTGACAAAAAACAGACTTTCACAGAATGCAGATGAGGCGAAAGACGTTACACATGTGCATGCAGCATCCAGCAATGAGCTATCAACTCCGAATCAGGCAGCTACGGGGTTAACTTCCTCAGGGGCAAAAAAAAAAAAAAAAAAAAAAAATGTACATCAGACTCTTTTCATTCCCCTCAGTATCTCACGCGTCCTCTATACTCTCTCCTTCAGGCAGGGCAACAAAGGCTAGCAGCCTCCTCCAGAAAACACACATCAATATTTTATTTGAATTTCTAACATCTCACCACAACAGTTATCTGACCTCATGACTTGAGGGAGCCTCATAAATTCAAGGACTTTGTTTCGAGTCTATGTTGTTGATATTGAATAAGCAATTTGGATGGGTGAATTAACGACTTTGGTGTTTGTGCTGTTGTAAAAAAAAAAAAAAAAAATCCCCAAAGAAATATTAAAATGTGGATCAATATGATTGAAAGCCGCTTAGGACCTTATGGGTACGCCTCTGTCCACTGGGCATGGTGCAGGGGGTGGAAACTCCTCTCTGCGGCAACAAAACAAAGTGCAACCCAGTATCTGTGTAATCTTTAATAATTCATGCAGGGAAAATGTGTTTAAAGCCAGGACATCCTCTTTGGTCTACAGAGCAGAGGTCAGCCCCTTAACCACAGAGACCACCAGGAGCCCACTGCCTCTTTCCCTCCCCCTGCCTGCCTCTTTTTACTTCTCTTCCTGACTTTCTTCCTCCTCCACATCTTTCCCAATCCTCCCTTTAACAACAAGCACACAGCAACAAATTAAAACGATATTTTAAAAAAGCCTGAAATGTGAAAATTACAGGAAACTACCACTGGAGTTAAGATTAGATTTTTACAAACATTTCAAAAATACTCCTCTGCATTTTTTTAATGCAATAAAATGACTGCATAAATCTCCTGCGATAATATAGACTTTGGGGAAGCAGTTATGTTATTTGTGAGGCCATGCTTTAAGAAGGAAAAGAATGCAGATTTGTGCATTGCCACAAGGTTTCATGTTAATTATTAATACGCAGGCCAAGTTAGTTTCAAAGGACAGTTTCTCCAAACTGTTCCACACAGCTCAAATCCAGCAGATTATCAGAGAGGTTTTCCAAAACATTGCCACCACAGCCCTGTGAATACATTTTCCTTGGTTTTATGAACAACAGGTTAGAACAAAGAATGGCGCCAAAAGACCTGTTGAAACCATAATTTCCATGGCAGCCTGATTTTCTAATATTTCTTTCTCCACCTCCCCCTTATCTTTTTTTTTTTTTTTTTTTTTTTTTTTAGTAAAGATTCACCCATCTCCTCCATTTAGCTGGATGTGTTATGAGACTCTCTTCAGCTCATTAAAATGCAATGCCGATGACCAGCTCTCTGGAACAGTGCCTCCTAACCAAAGTTCATCACTAGCAGGGACTATGGGCTTTTTTTTTTTTTTTTTTTTTTTTTTTTTTTCACTTTGAACACACTTGCACTGAGGCTTTTCACCGGCGCGTCCTCGGTCTAAAGACACTTTGTCCACTGCTGTCCCGTTTCATGTGGAAAGGTGAAGGTGTAGGGTGTCTGCTGCTTTAGCTGCTCCAGTGGAACAGAAACTCTTTTATAGTCCATTTACCCACAGACAAACACTGGTTTAGGACGGCAACATTTTTATTTTCTTTAATTTTCTAGATTTACTCAACTTAAACTGTAAATAATAATAATAATAATAATAATAATAATAATGAAATTGATAATGTATGATTTAACGGGAATCATTCTAAATTGAATCATGTGTGATCTATTGTCGCTCCACATTCACCTCGGTGTTGGGAAACAGAGCAATTGGTTGGCAATAAAGAGGCTGCTGCCGCCTCTGTCGCAGTGTGGTCCGCGTATTGAACGACTTTGTTGGGTATTTCCCTCAGCCTCTGGATCTGGTTACGCGGTATTGATCGGTTTTTATCGAGACAGATGTGATTCTTCGTGGCCCCAGCCTCAGCCCCCCGTGCTGGCTGTGTCGTGGAGGGCCGCACATGGGGATTGAATTGCACTTGTGCGACCACCCCGGATAGGCTCGATCTGGGAATTACTATATAGTTCAGCCTTGTGTGTGAAGGTAAAATGGCTATCTGCTTATTTCAGATCTGATTTATCCCATTTATACGCGTGGCAAATGACAAGGTTTCCACGCCTCTCTTGTTTCTCGTCTTATTTTCCTTTTGAATTTGGCTCTCTCGAACATTTTCTCTGACATGTGTGGACACATTTAGAAAAAAAAAACACAAAGGAAAGAGCTGTTACAGGAAGAATCTACGCGCATTGGAACAACAGCATGCCTTTTTCTTTTTTAAATAATTAAATTGAATTGAAGCTGTTATTTCCACCTACCTGTTGATGGATGAAACGCTGGGGACAGTGTCGTTGTCGCAGACGCCCTCAGCCAGTAGTCGGTCCCTTATCTCCCAGGCGAACATGGTCGGATTCTGGCGCTTATATTCTGCAATTTTATCCACCACTTTCGGAGTTGCAACTTTTGGTTTGGAGCCACCAATGACTCCGGGTTTAATACTGCCGGTTTCATAGTACCTGTATGGGGACAGAGTGAGTGTTCCTGAATGGATCCCTCCTTTCATTCAACAATCCACTCAGTGTCTGAATGATGAGAAAAGTGGCTTAAAAATCGTTTGTGTGGAAACAAATCTCCGCCGACCTTCTGCAGTTACATGTAGGGCCAAAAAAAAAAAAAAAAAAAAAAAAAAATCCTACAAATATGATGGCGGCTTTAATCTATTATTGGTGTGGAAGTGTGCTGTTATATGGGCCTAATTGTGTGTCAGCTGGAGGGTGAACAGAGCGGATTTCCAACGAAAAGCGGTGTAATTCAAATTACACAATATAAAGGCAGTGAGACGGACAGAACAAAAGGACAGTTTAGCTGTAAGAGCACAGTTTAAGACCTCATTGCCAGTCTCCGTGAGCTTACAGTAGCATGCACGACATGCCACCATGACCTATTGGTATAAATGTTGGTGACAAACATTCAGTGTGTGTGAAATGAAATACCTCTGAAATGCCTTCTGATAGCTGAAAAAAATATATTTCAAAATATTATCTCACAGCATTTGCGCTCTGAAGTAAAAAAAATGATGTAGATCTAATTTATCAGGTTTAAACCAGCTTTTACACTGATGGAAAAATACAGCAACTTAAAGTGTGTATTTATGGGTTTTTTTTCTGGTACTCCAAGGTGAGTTTATAGTGGCCGTAGACTGCGGTGTTTTAACAATCTGTTATAGAACTGAAAAGTCAGTTTTCAAGTGATCTTATGGCGCTTTATAATATTTTCTTTATCACCTACAGTCTCCTATAATAATAATAATAATAATAATAATAATAATAATAATAATAATAATGATACAGCCTCAAATTCTTCAGGGATTTTTTTTTTATCCCTAATGTTTAGCTTTACACTTCCCTCCAAAAATTCATTTCATGATTATGATGCTTTTCTCTTTCGAGGCTGCAGGTGATGGATAGAAAATCTCGGACTCAGAACTGCTGTGTTCAAGCAAAAAAAAAAAAAAAAGAAGGAGAGAGAAAGTAAAAAAAAAAATGACCTGCCTATATAACCGATGACTGGGGCTGAAATAGAGCTGGGTGCGCATATACAAGCTATAGAAGATTGATGTTTGACACACATAGGGCTCTGTTGGTAGTGGATCCCCCCTTTTACCTGCCGAGGATTTTGCTGACACAGCCGTGACTGACCCGTAGCTGTCTGGAGATGTCGCAGGGCCGGACGCCCTGGTGGGCCAGCTCCACTATCCGCTGCCTCACCACGTCCGGGAGGGGTCTGCCGTTCACAAACACCCCGCCGAGCTGGTTCACACCGCCGTGCCCTGCGTGGGATACAACAGCAGCACAGGGGAGCATAACATTACATACCTGCAGAGGACACGGGGTCTCCTCAGTTTATTTTCTGGGAGAAAGCTGTGTGTTGTATTTTCATTCTAAAAGGTTGCATCACATTACTGTTAACACACACAAATAGTATGGTTTACTTGTATATACACACAGGCACATTTTCATTTTGGCCAACAATCTTATAGTCTACTGTAAGCAAATATTTTAGCACCAATTCTAAATTATAATAATAATAATAAGAAGAAGAATAAGAAAAATAAGAATAACACTGGTGAAAACATGATAAATATTGAAGCAGCCATGGAGTAAAAACAGTAAAGTTCATGTACTGTGCTGCTCTCCAATACGCAGATTAAAACATTTTAAATAAAAATAGAAACATCATTGATTATAATAAAATAAAAACACTTGACTGGCTCTTTTGGAGCCCATAAAAACATGCAACAATTACTCCTCTCTCCCTGTACATTGACCTGGTTAGGCAATATTTTCCAAGAGCATCTCCTCCCCTGCAGCCTAACACATGTCGCAGATATTGTGTTTCAACCTGTTTAATTTTCCTGCACAATTACTGTAAATAATTAAAATGAGCTTTGATAACTCATATTACAAACGCGGATGGTGCGAATGAGGAGGAATAAATAATTTACACACAGTGCCGGCTATTCTTTACTCATATCGTATGGAGGGAAAAAAACACACACATTAGGAAAAATGAACAGTTACAACAACTGCTTTTTGTTTTTTTGTTTTTTTTTGTTTGTTTTTTTTTACCTCAGGTTTTGTCTGGACCAACCTAAATCTGAAGTGAGAGCTGGCTAAACAAAGCGACACGTTCACATCCATTTACACACAACGTTCTCTGGTCTCCCTACAGCATCTGTCATCTCACAGGTAATAAAAGCTTTGTATTTTAATTGAGGGAGTTTCTATTTTATCACTTAACAGTAAATTTGCTTAAATCAGCTCAAACTGTCCCATTTCTATTAAACTCTGACACAAGAAACTCCCGAAAAAAGAAAATAAAAAGAAAACTTTTCCCTCACCCATGTGCTCTTAAAAAGAAGCCAGAAATATCACTGTTTTTAAACATGTTTCCAGCCATTTATCATTATTTTCTGTGCGTCTTGTTTTTATTATTATTATTATTGTTGTTGTTGTTGTTGTTATGGCAAATAACGTAACTAAATCTAACTTAAAACTTTACCAATGTTTTTAAGGAGAAAAAAAATAGAGTCAGAAAAATGACTAAAGGTGCAAACATTTAATTTTTGAGAGCTGTGTTCATCTTCAGTAATAACACGTTGGCGAATAACGAGCCTTAATGGACTCTGAATGAAAAATATGTGGGCTGCAAGAGCACATTTTCAATAAATTACGCCACTGTCATCGCAAACGTCGTGGATCTAATTTGCGCCGGAGCTGAAGTCGCAGTACAGATGTGTTTATGTCTATAAACTAATTCAGTATACTCACGGTGCATCGCTGAGAACGGGTCTGCTTTGCAGTGAATATCCATGGGATAGCAAAGGAAAGAAAGGTAATCGACTGAGGTCGCCGTTTCGCCTCGGTGATGCAGCTTTAAAGCAGTAAAAAAAAAACAAGGATTTATCTTTTGGTGTAAAACAGTCCGTGTGGGCAGAGTCCGCAGGCTGCAGCAGCGAATAACTTCTTGGGGGGGGCGATGCTAAGTTTTCCTCCTGTTAAAGTCTGAAGTGAAAAGTCTGCGGAAGGGTTGTCTGTCAGGTGCTGAGCATGACCCACGCGTGTGCAGAGCGCACCAGTCGCAGCAACATTGGCTCAAACCGGGTCACTGTTTGTGTTTAAAGGACATCATGAGCAAAACAAAGCAGTAGCTGGAAGTCTCCACGGGTCCGGTCGGGAATCTGAGGCCGAACAAAAAAAAAATCCCTCTCTCCTCTGACGGCTTGGAGCACCGGCGCTGCTCTGTGGTTTAATCAGATAGGGGCGGAGATGACAACAACATGGACACGGCGAAGTATACAGAGCAGTGCGTCCCCCTCTCCTCCAGAATGGGCTGTGCCTGAGCCAAGCTTTGGGCTGAGAATGAAACCCCTCTCCTTGTGTGTCTGTTTCTAAAAGCTGCAGTCCCACAGATCACCCCCACCGCCACCACCACCACCACCCCTCCCTCCCCCTACTCCTACCTCCATCCCACAGATCCCCTCGCATAGAGATGGATGACTTGTCAGACAAAGGCAATAGATTCCAACACTTTGTGATTCGCCCACGTAAAAACCTGCAGCTCAAATGAGGAGGTCCCTGCATCCGACAGCCAGGAAGGGGAGGGAGACGAAATGGGAAATGATGAGACTTTGGGGTGAAGAATCAAGGAAATTAAAGGCAGGGGGTAGAAGAGAGGTAAAGCACTGTCAGGCTGGTGTATGTTGTTTAAAGCGATGTTACTCAGGATGTTTTCAAGGGTCCCAATGGAAACACACGATGAGTGTGACTCAGGGCAGGGATGCCCACTTCAAGGATTTTTTTTTGTCGATGCCTTTACATTTTTAAAGTGTCATCGAGGAGCCTGTTTAAAACAATCATAATTATAAATCCTCGTAATTTAACTGTGAATTTAAAAAAAATGAACTGACTTTTGTAAGCTCCTGAACAACACTGGGCGACCCAATAACTCACTCTGTGAGCCCCTGGTTCAAAGTGTAGACTCTCAATATACAGTAGTTATTCTTTTGAAAATATAAAACAGACATAGGATCAGATTTCAAAATAAAATCCCTTCTATTTTGGTAAATGTGTTGCTAATTTTACAGCATCTCCCCCGTGTAGCATCCTGTTGTTAAACGAGTCAGAAAAAACACACTAACAAAAGAAAACTGTTAAAAGTCTTTGCATGTTGTGAATTCACCATGGATTTTGTTTTATCACTCCACGTCTTGACAGTCACGTTAGCTGTGTGTGGCCAAACAGGAAGTGTGTGTGCAAGGTGAGCTCGCAGCCTGCGGAGGAAGAGTCAGTCAGCAGGCCATCATCATCATCATCATCATCATCATCATCACCAGCACCATCATCATCATCACCATCATCCTCCACTCACCGCCTGTGAGCAGCATCGCTCTGTAGATGGCGCTCATACAGTAGGGTATACACACACAGCCCGCTGTGCTCATGCAGACAGGCGGACGGGCAGGCAGGTAGGCTGATGCTGTTTGAGGTTGGCCGGGTCAAAGGTTGATGGTAAGCCTATACTGTAGCTGAATTATGCTCTCTTAATCTCTTCCGGTAGAACTCAATCTGGGGGACAACAAAGAGAAAAACACAAGAGTCACAGATTTAAAAAAGAAAAAAAAAGAAAAAAGAAAAGAAAAAGTACTCACTGTAATGGGCTGTAGCATGAGGTTAACAACAACTTCTGCATGTCTATAACTCACTGCCATTTAGCTGAAGGAGCTGCAGTTTTTCCAGCAGAAAAAAAATTCTATTTATAGATGATATCAGCATAGTGTTTTTGCACAGTGATGAGTGTGGAGCTGTTATTTAAAAAAAGCTGCAATCTCCTGTCATGTACTTGAATTTATTTGCTTGTTATAGAAAGTACAACAACAGCAATAATAATAATAATAATAATAATAATAATAATAATAATAATCTAGTTGTTATTTAGAGGATTTGTGAACTCCATGACACAGGACCCCGTGTTGCGTCCAGCTGCCCTCTGGACAAGTTTGAGGACGATTCCTCTTTTTGTTTCTGTTTTTTTTTTTTTCTTTTTTTTTTTTTTGGGAGGGAGCTTCTGGTACAATATGTAGCACCATGGGCTGTAATTTCACACGTCAGTGCACTTTTGCCCTAAAGCTGCTGCTATTTCCCCCACAACACCCCGATTTGCCCCCCGTACCTCTCTGTACTGCCGCGGTGACGTCCCTGTGTCACAGAGCCACAGCAAAACAAACGGCGTGATAATTAAGAAACTGTTAGTCCTGACTTCACCCCTTTTAAAACCCCAGCCACCGAGGACCTAATGCGATTATTGTTTTCGATTTTTTTTTGCCTGCATTATACAATAAGGAGCTTCGACACAGTTGTCACCCTCCATAAGAACAGTTGATTTTAATACTATAGACTCTTTCAGACACTTGAAACAATAACAACATAGTTTACATAGTGTTCTTTATTGGCAGCAGCAGAGGTTAAACCGTCCACAGTAGATCTTTAAGGGCCTCTCTTCTGTTTAATTTTCTTTACACTAAAATGCACCATCCCAATTGTAAACATAAATATTAAGTAAAATTAAATAATAATAATATAACAATATTTATAACAACAATAATAATAATAATAATAATAATAATAATTATTATTATTATTATTATTATTATTATTTTAATAAATAATAATACTGTAGGCCTATTTTAATAAGTGTACTGAAGTGGAGAGACAGGCAGGAGAGAGACAGAGAGGGAGGGAGGGTCATGAATTTCCACGGAGACCAAACTAATTTTTTGAAACATATGGCCTGTAACCGCGTTCAAGTCAACAATCGATATCGCTGTTTTTTTTTTTATTTAAATTTTTTTGTAATCTTCCTCCGTGTATTGGACACAATGCAGGAGCTGCCAAACATTTCGTGATTTGGGTCCCTTTAATCACCGACTTTCAACAAATAATAATGTGATATTTATTTCACGTGAGTGCAAATACTTTTTTATGGACGTGGGACATGCAGTTAAAGACTGAAATAAAAGGTGATTAGAAATTGGACTATATTTCATATTTACCATGGGAACATACCCCTGACCCCAGTGGGAGCCACTACACTGCAACCCACTGCAAGTCTGACTTTGAGTGTAAAGCTTAATAATCAAAGTTTCGCCCTATACAAGTATTTGCATATAAACTATGGGGGGGGGGGTAATCACTGTAAAATATTGATTGATTTATGTTTCATGTATATGAACCTTTAATAAAAATGTAAACAACCTCTCCTTGAAGGCTACATAGATGTATAAACTCCATCCACCAGATCCAGGTGTCAGTGAAGTAAACACTGCTACAACTCAACTGCTCTTCGTGCACTCCTGTACTTTGACTCTAAACTCTAAACTCTTAATTTCACCTACTTAAAAGCTCCTCTCCTGATTCTGCACGTCAGACGTCACCAGGCTGTAATTCTGTGAACATTTCCTTAGATCTATTTTTTCCCGTATTATTCAAAACATCAGCATCATATCGGGAGTCACTTGTAATATCCCACAATGATTTGGTGTCTCCTGACACCCAAAGCCATATGGGTAGGCTATGCCAAACTGCAGGATATCAGCTGCGTCCTCAGATTGCTTATTCATGTGCTTTATAACGGGAGCAGATGGATATCAATTTGACTCTATCCTCGACACCATCACAGATTGATTTTGTACTTGCTTTTAATTTTGCCATAATTAATTAGATCATTACAACTGTTTTCCATTGATCTTCCCATCTAAACCCAAAATTGAGAGGTGAATTAGATTGTGATCTATGTTTTCAATTATATCCCCAAGCATATAGGTGATGTTAATAGACTATTAAGCTATCACATGCAGTAACAATAATAATACTACTACTACTACTACTACTACTACTACTACTACTACTACTACTACTATTAATAATAATAATAATAATAATAATGATAATAATAATAAACCACATCAAAATATAATTTCCTAACTTGAATTTCTGACATTAATTTGACATTAAACAATAACAAAAAACGAAGTTTAAACACATGCAGTCACTGCACAGTGTGGAGGGAAAAGCACACCATGCTTTGTTTGATCTAAGAATAAAAACAATAGAATGACATAAAAATCCAGAGAGACTCTACAAGCAGAGAGCTGCAGCCTCCACACAGTTTTATCCCACACAGCGCAACCAACATACCTGCAAACAAACATTGACATTAGTATGAGGCAGAGGGAGAAATCCTTACCTGATCGACCAGCGCTGTGAGGCATGGTTCTCCCTTGTCTAATGGTGCGTCTCCCCGATGCAGCCCAGTAGATCTGTCCGGCCTCCTGCGCTCCCTCCCCGGCTGGGCGTCGTGCTTCTCCCCGCTGGTTGTCAGAATCTTTGACCGATCATCCAAAACTAAACGGTTTAGGCGACAACAAAAAGAGGAAGCAACCCTGCTCCAATGAACTAGGAATTGATAAAGAGGGTAAAAAAAAATAGAAATCAAAGAACACATTGCGTTGCAGGTGCTGAATTAAAAGGAACTGTAGCTAAAACTTGTCTCGTGTTAAAAAAAAAAAAAAAAAGAATGAAGGGAGATTTTAGTTTGCAAATTGCTGGAGCTTCAAGTATTTGACTCAGCACGATGGTTGTAGATTTTAAAAGCACCATATTTCGCACTCAGTGGTGTGTGTCAGTCTGCTCAACGCTAAAACTCAGTCTGAAATTATAAAAATGTTGCGATATTATTTATGACAATTTGTAACAGAAATAATACATGCACGGAAAGGATCAGGCACAATTCATACATCCTCATGAACACTGGCTTTGGAAACACAATGACTTGTTAAAATCATTTTAATTGTAATTCATCTGCATAGTAACTTAGGCTATGGTATATAGCAGGTTTATAACAGAACTGGATGCTGCCAAACATGTATGAAATTTGCTCACTCTCTTCTCTCTCTCTCTCTCTCTCTCTCTCTCTCTCTCTCTCTCTCTCTCTCTCTCTCTGTCACACACACACACACACACACATACACAGAGAGAGAGAGAGAGAGAGAGAGAGAGAGAGAAAGAAAATGGGGTACAAAAAGACAAATACAGTACTGTGGATTTAATTATTAAATTTTCAATAGAGTTTTGGTTCAAGCTAACTTTGTTTTTCAGCTGCCCAGTCAAAACTGTTATTGTTATTTTATGTTTAAAGTGAGATTTTTCTGTTGTATAGCTCCAGATATATCATTTTTTTCTCATCAATCACGGTTTGCACACATTGGCTTTAAAACAGTGATCACAAAGCGCTCTTCTCAAGAGATTTAGTC